TGGGATTTATTGATCGCTCTATTTGTACGAGTTATGCTTAAAAAGAGTTTTTCAAATATTGGGCCTGAGTATTGAGAATTATTGAAGAGTGACACTTCAATTTCTAATCTACGATTGAATTCGATGTATTCTCGCATGATAATGGTTATTCTTATTGATTAGTCGGTTGACAACCCTCTAGTCTAATCTAATCGACTCTTAGAACCGAAAGGGGAGGAGTCGGTCGAAATAGGCTCGTACAAACTAGGCTTGTTCGTAACTGTATTGCCTAGGAGTTAAATGACTTGTTAATTTTTCCGTTCAAGTTTGTTCTCTTGTTACGAAGAGTTATTGAGGATGAATACTTGAACGAGCAAATTATTCAAATCACTTAACCATACGATCACTTGCTCAATAGTCACAACTCGAACCAAAACGGATATCCCCGACTCCCTAGCTCCTTAAATCCTACTTGTTCTTCGTTGATTGCTTGCTATTTATATTTGCTTTATTTGAAGTTTTTCTTCGTAATTAATAATCGAACCAAATCATCTGAATTAGAATGTTTAGGAATTTTATTTCCTTTTGTGTGGTTGAATAAACGTGCATAATAATCCGGCTAACCTTCCTCGAGAGACACGACCCGGTGTTCGAGTCTTTTGATTCTACTCCGGAAAAATATTTACAACATGCCCAATAAAACTGCTGACATATATCTATACTTATATTAAAAGGTATATCATTTACCAGATTTAGTATAAACAAAAGTCAACAACATTTATTGCATTACTATTTCCGTATTATACAATCTATACTTATATAAAAGAAGATTCTATTTACTACATTTACTATCCAGAAAAGTCAACTGCATTAAATGCCATTACTATTTTGGTATTATAATATTTTATTTATTTAATTGATTTTTTTTTTTTTTTCCGAAACGATAGAGGTAATATATATGAGCACAAAAGTGCAACAAAAACAAATTACAAGACCCCAACAGGGTAATACCTAAGGCCCCAACAAGGTAATGAGACAGGGGCCACCAGCCCAAACCAAAAACACGCCTAAAAAGCCACAAAAATAACAAACTGAGAGGACACGCACATGGCGGCCTAGAGAACTCAACAAAAAGAAAAAAAGGAAAATGAAACACAGAGCCACTGCACAATGCCTAGCCTGAATTCATCTTCCAAACAAAAGCAAACAAACACACCAACCAAGACTCGACAAAACACACAAACAAACACTGAAACAAGCAAACAAACACTGAAAGTAAAATTAGAAAGCCCTTCCCCAATCGGTATAACACGCCAAACACAACAATGGCCGAGTGACCCGAGCTCCCAACTCAGAAACTGCAATAGAGCGCCTAACTGAGTCAGGAACCATCGGGCACAACCCTTGTCCAATCAAACAAACTCCACTAGCACCCCGGAGACCAAACACACCATCCAAACCAATCATCAACAATGGTCCGAGCCTCGAGCAAATTTGTCCGGCCCAGTAGGCGCTGACCGACAACCGGAACCAGGCAAGTCGACAACAACCCGACACCCCGAACCGACACCCCGAACCCTGTCTTTCGAGCACCGAATCGACATTAACCTCGCGCGCGAATTGGAGCAGATTCTCTCGGACGAGACAGAGCTCGAGTTGCGAGTGGCGGCGAACGGGGACGAGGGCGGTGATAGGGTCGTCAACAGCCGAAACCAGAGCCTCCCCGCAACCTATACCTGAGCCAACCAAATCCCCAAACCAGAGCCAACAATCGCGACTTCCATCAGCAGTGAAGTACAAATTGGACGGACGAGTCTCCACCCCTAACCCTAGATTGGGAAATCGGGGCCGCAGCCCTCTCCGGAAGAGCGCCCGAGGCCGCCGCGGCGGAGATACCGGAGGAGGAATAGCCGGCCGCCACTAGCTGCCAGTTCCGAGGCGAGAACCGGAAACTCGGCGCGACCTTCTCCCCGGCGAAAAAGCATCCTCCGATCAGCGCATCTTCACAGAAAAGGCCGCGAAGGCCAGGGGAGCTACCACCGTGTGCTCGCCGGCCCAACCGGGGAAGACGATGGAAAAATCACAGAGGAGCGGCGACGGGAGAGGATTTTCGAGCGGCGACGGGAGGATTTTTTAGAGAGAGGTCACTATATTTAATTGATTTATTTATTTGTTTTATTTTAAAAAAGTAAGTATAACAAAAAGATTTTAATAATAAAAATATCAAATACCAAAAGAAATGTACACTTTGACTTATTTGATTATATTTGGTATTTGATTATACCAAATATATTCTTATTTAGTATATACATTAAATACTTACTAAAGTATTTATTTGTTTTATTTGTCAAAGTTAAGTATAGATTTGTTTATATTATCAAATCATAAAAATATATTAAATCCATATTGTAACAAGAAAGAATCATATAATTTTATAACAATTCTACTACACTATTTAACAATATTTTTTTTTTATTATATAATAAAATAATAATTAAATATTATATGGTGAACAACAATAAGTAAAACTGTTACTTTCTCTCAAGGAATAAATTTATATGCTAAAATTAAATTTTTATTAGTATAAATATTTTAGTGAGATAATATATTAATTATTTTATAAGCTAGCCCTAACATGCTCATATTTAATGTTTTAAAAGATGTAGAAAAAAAACTTATAATAACTCTATTGTTTTTTAGACTTAAATGTTGATTAAAAGAGGTAAAAATTCCTAATTTTTTATACTTAAACGTTGATTAACACCATAGATTGAGAGTTTATATTTAGTAAAATTCCTAATTGTAATAAAAAAATTAATTTTTGCTATATTTTAGAATATCTTTAAATTCATTATAAAAATAAAAAGAAAAAAACTACAATGTAAAAAGCAAGTCAGCTATATATCGATTTGTTGTACTCCTCAAATCACATTCACAATTTGGCTACAAGGAACGGAAACTCATTGATTAAATATTATTTTGTCAGTAGTCTTAATGTACAAGATACTCTAAGACTCCACTTGAATATTGTACAATTTTCTTGCGTATTACAAACTTTTATTGAATATTGCATCTTATAATATAATATTCTCCAAATAAATATATCTCATGCTTCGCACGGGTCACGTACTATATATATCCGTACATTTTTCTTTATTCATGTATATAATTATAAGCTTGGATAAATAGCCTTTAAAATCGTGCACCCCGTGCATCGCACGGGCTCTGTACTAGTTGATGCGGATAGGCATAAGTTTAGGTTTAGTATTATTCTTATTATTATTAGTAGCATTTAATATTATTATTTAATACTTAATAGCTTGATGGAAAAGTTAAGTTAAGGACTTTAGGAGTCTTATTTAAAGACTCCTTCTTCTTTGTTATTCGGCAGTGAGTTTGATAATAAGAATTGATTGAATCTTGTGAGTTTTATCGAGAGAGTATCTCGTTTATCCTTCCTATTCATATGCTTCCCTACATCAGTTGGTATCAGCAGTCAGTATGATTCGCGATGCCGCCGGGACGACAAGATGCCACAAACGAACGACGTGACACAACCTTCAATGATCGGTTTCAACAGATCGACTACCGATTCAACAGTTGGACGTACGGTTCACGGATTGGTTTGCTGATCTTTTGACGGTTTGACGCTTGACAACGTGGTCTGGGATTTGCACACGTACCGTGACGCCGGCACCCGGGGCATGCGCGGGGGAATTCGCGGAGGACGTGGAGGCCGTGGTCCAGGCGGGGCCCCCCGCCGGAGATCTCCACAACCACCATCCAGCGACGAAGACGGCGAGGACACAGTCTCAGAGGTGAATTCCTTTGATGATTTTTCAACCCCGCACATCGAGGTTGACCCCTTCGCTGCATACGGCGGCCGTGACATGTGGCGACGGGGCCCGGTCTTCATAGACGGCGACGATCAACGCGACGACAAAGGCAGGCGCGAGGAGACTGCCTTTGCCAGCGGATATCGTGCCCGACACGATTGGGGACTTGATTGCGAATATGGTCAATGGGAGGGCCCGTTTCATGTTGACATCCCTGAATTCGGCGCATAACAAGATGACGAGCCATTATACGACGGTCCGTCGATTTACGATGCAGAGCCTCCGAGGCCGGAGGAATGGAACACCGGAGTCGACACCGGAGTCGTACCCAAGGAAATCATTGCCCGTTGTTTCCCCCAAGGAAATCATTGCCCGTTGTTTTAAATGCCAACCGTGTCGACACCGGAGTCGTACCCAAGGAAATCATTGCCCGTTGTTTCCCCCTATCGACGGTCCGCCGATTTATCGGTGACTAGACCAATATGACCACCGGTATGGTATTTAAAACACTGCTTGAGACAAGGCCACATATTGGATTTTCAACTGTTTTGTTTACATATTGTAACAGCATTTATGATAATTAAGAATACTCCGTAATGATATTTTGGCTTCCACTAAAATCATTATCCATTGGAAGTTTGGAATATGTGAGATTACTTCTGTTTCATTTCATGTTCCCCGTCGTGTTCATTCTATGTTTGATGGATCTTTACAACGAGTATCAAAGAATTTGCCATAACATTACACACTTGCCATTATTGACTGCATTCACAAACCACATGAAACAGATCTTTAGGTTCGGACAGCATCTGGAGCAAGCTGTAGATCATCAAAATTCTTGACAAAAATAGTTTGTTATTATGTCATTTTCTACCCACCTTATCTCATTATCTCAAGAATAAACAATGAAGACCCCCCTTTAACATTGGAAAACCAAAACAAACAGACAATTGCAGGATCCTGGGAAACTGTAGAGAATAATTCTGTCACGGATAACACATAATACAAGTTTATAGTCATTAAACCTCAGATTTGCTTACAACTCCTCAACCCTGAGGGTAATATGCTAAAGACTTTTGCCACAGCACACACAAACACACATACACACACACACACGAGTAAAAACAAACCATAAGACCCAAAGCAGTAAAATAAAATTACAGGTCCAAACCAAAACCACAACATTCAATAATCAAAAGGCCACCTCATCCTGCTATTCTCCTCACCCGCCGATCCACTCCTTCCATTATTCTCCGAACCACGGTGCTCATTCTCATTACTATTCCCATAACTGTTATTTTGGCTCGAATTCGAAGGCCACAAGAACGAGAACGGATTCCAACGCCCCTGAGAGCCCCCATTGCTCTCTCTCCTGCCACCCGAGTTCGGCCGAGCCCGCCCATTATAGTGCGAAGGCAGCTCCACACGACAAACGGGGCACGAGTTATGCTCAACTAGCCATGGAACAATACAGTCCGAATGGTAAATATGGTCGCACGGCATCTGTCGAGCCTTCGACCCGAGCTCGAACTTATCCTGACAAACGGGACAATGCGCGTCAGTATTGAGATGCCTCTGCGTGATCTTTATAGTCGGCATGGCTTCGATAGCCGAGCGCGGGGCTGGGGGAGGGCCACGACGGTCATTTACGGCCAGCCTCTCGATAAGCTCGTGCAGCCCATGGTGGCCCGCGAAGAGCTCGGCGAGGTCGGCCCGTCTAGGGCCCATCCCAGGGTCAGCAGTGCCGAAGAAGAGGTCAAATGGGTCCTGGCTGGAGGATGGGCCCTGGAGGATCAGTAACGGGCCCCTCTGCTCTGGACGGGCCCGAATGTCGAAGGTTGGGTCAAATCCGGTCATCCTGCGCCTCATGAGGGCGGTTAAAGCGTCTGTTAGGCCGAATCTCGAGTTTTGGAAAGGGTCGGGAAATGGAAAGCCAGCAACATTGTTGGGATGGGTTAATTCGGGGAGTTCCTGAATGAAACCGCCGTCGCAGTATGGGCAGACGGGATTGCGGGCACGGGACCGGGCCCGAACGGGCTGCCCACATTGGTAGCACCAGTGAGTGTTTCCCCCACTTGACATACTTTTTTTTTTTGTGTGTGTGATATTTTAGGTTGAGAAGTCTGTGTAGAAGGGTCAGGAGACTTTTGCAGTTTGTCCTGCATTGAAAATTGTTGTGGTTTAAGAGATAACAAGGGGAATATGCAAAATGTTGGCAATATAGGGCACAGATAGAGATAATTAGCTATTGTGAGCAGTTCTAGTGTGAGTATAAATTCATTACTAAGTAATTTTTCACGAGATCTGTAGGGCTAATCAGACAAAGTGTTTCTTTATAGATCTAACAAGGATACCTGAAAGAACTTCATTTATGAAAAATGATTATTGCTGAAACTACACAAGAAGCGTTTTGGCAAAACATACTCTTTCCAGAACAGCAATTGGGGGAAGTTAGAAAAGAATTCAAAAATGGTGAATTCGGACTGAGCGCTGTTCAGTCAATCAAACTAGATCAAAGCAGCAACAACCTCCAAAAAAAAAAATGCACAAACTTATGAAATTGAAACTAAATAATTAAATACTGCTGAATTCCTCCTGAAAATGCTACGAATAATCGGATTAAGAAACAGACAAAACCATCCTCGATTTTTTTTTTTTTAAATAACCACCACGCAGGCAAACACCCAATTCACTGAAATAAACAATCGATTAAGCAACAAAAAATGGAAAATAGTCACAAAAGTGAGTGTTTCCAAGTAGAAGATAATTCACTGAAATAAACAGCCGATTAATCAACAAATAATGAAAAATAGTGATAAAAAATAGTGTTTTCGAGTAGGAGATACCCGAAAGTGCGGTTGAGACACTTGAGTTGAGTCCGCAGCTTAGGACATGGGAAAAGAGTGGGGGGATTGGATTGGAAATTTGCGGTTCTACAAATTATGGTGTCGTTTGGTCTTTCCTAAAGTGCGAGTAAGCACGCGGATGTATTTGCAGTTTAGTACAGTATTTTGGGAAAATTGCCGAACGGGTATGAAGGAATGATTATTTATAAATAAATACACTTAAAATGAGTTTTTTCGATTAATCAGGGTTAGTTTTGATAAAGTTCAATAGTTAGATGTTAGTGGATTTTAATTTTATATAAATATAATATTGAAAATAAAATAGTTAAAGTTAATTTAATATAAAAATAGAAGATGAATGATGTGAAGTGATAGTTAGTTAAAATTATGTGAGTAGATGAATAATGAATTAAAGTTGATTTGATATGTAACAATGATTGATTGGTATTATTAAATTCTATTGATAATATTGAGGATAGTGGACATATGAGAATAATAAATAGTGAAAGAAATAAGAATAGATCTAAGTCATTGTATTCATCAAATCAATGGCCAAGATCAAGTCAAACTTTAATAAATAATGGTCAATCATTAATGGCAATTTGGTGATTATTTGAATATATTGTGGTCAAATATATACATTTGGTCAATTATTAAGGGTAAGTTGGTCTTTATACATATACCACAAGTGGGTCCCACACTTTCTCTTTCCTCATTATCTCTCTCCCACATTCAACCGAATACACACACTTCACACACACTCCACCGATCGCCGATAAACCATCGCTGTTGCCACCAAAGCGCCGCCGTCATCGTCGTCTCCAGTCAAGCACCGCCAGCCATCCTCAGCCCCGACTGTTGTAGCAAATTATATTTTTACCGAGTACGGGATGACTCCCGACCTCAGGTCGATCTCACGAGGAAGGTGGTTCGGAATTCAGCTTTGGTATCGATCACACATAAAAAGAAAATAAATCCTAAACACTCTAATCAGATTGGGCAAGAATTAACTATCAACTAAGAAATAGCATATAAGCATAAATCCTAAAATACTAACTAGATAACAATAAAGACACTAGGGAATCAGGGATAATTTATTCAAGTTCGCAACGTAAAGCCAGGCAATTGATCGTTCGGTTCGGGTTTGACACTCTCGCCTACACGTCTAGCGGTTCACTCCCAATAACTCTTCGTAACAAGGGATTGAACATAGACGAGCAGGTTCGAGCATACAATACCGGCCAAGTATCCAATCCCAATAACTTTTCGTAACAAGGGACAAGTCACCGACAAACATGTATTTCAATCCAAAACCCATAGATTATTCAGTTACGAAATCATCTATCTCATGCGAGCCTAGGTCTACGACTTCTCCCCTTTCGGTTCTAAAAGTCGCTAATTCAATTAGAAGAGAATTAATCAACTAACCATTTAGAATCAACAAAATCCTAACTCGACTAATTAACATTCAACCATTTCCAATTGCAAGATCGAAGTGTCACTCTTCGATTATATCAATCAATCAAACAAGATTTCATCAATTCCTAATCAAATTAACTCGCACAAGAACAAACGAATCAAGCCCGACAAATACACGTTAAACGAGAACAATCATCCCCTATCCCTATCATAATGATTTAGCTACTCATCACAAATTCAACATCAACATTCATATCAAGCAAAGCCATAACATTCATCAATGAAATGAAAGAGAAGCTTACGATTAATAACAAATCCAATGTCGAAAAACAACGAGCAATCAAATGCAAGGGTAAAATCTTAGAGTTTTCACTATCCAAAATCAAAACTAAGAGAAAAGATGAGAGAAATATGTTTTGCCATGAAGAAAAAACGAGTACAAAGTCTGAGAATACTGAAAATATGCCTTAGGTTCGAACTAGTAGCCTCCCCAATTCAAAACCCACAAAAAACGCGATTAGATAAAAATAGACCTTAGCGGCGCTAACCCCTTAGCGCCGCTAACCCCCCTTTTTTTGCTGTGAAGTCTCTGGCGTCGCTAGCACCTCGCTAGCGACCATAGCGCTGCTAGTCTGCATACCCTTAGCGCCGCTAACCCCTTAGCGGCGCTAGGGTCTGGGCAGCTTCCGACTTTCGTTTTTTTTGGGCTCGTGAGCTCTCGACTAGCATCTCTCGGGTCTTTCCCGAGCTAGAAACTTAATCCTTTGTTGCTTGGTGGCACGAACTGGGATGAAACACCTGGGAGCCAGAGCAACCTGAAACTACCAAAACCGGACAAACACGAAAAGCAAGAAAAATAGGAAGAAAAATAAAGAAAACAAGAAACACACCTGAATAACACTAAAACACGAGAAACGACTCGGAGGACCGGAAAAACCTAAGAAACGACCTAAAATGGGGGGAAACACACGCAAAACATAGACAAAAATAGCAACAAAAATGGGACAAACAACTCCCCCACACTTAAACCTTTGTTCGTCCCGAACAAAAAGAAAAGAAAAGAAAACAAGACACGAGCATGGATATCGGCTTCAAATAAGAAAAGTTTCAAATTCATTGACTTAGCTGAGGAGACTTCAAAAGACCAATAAAACACATCTCAATTACAACTTAAATGGTACGCATTGACCAGACAAACTCTCAAACACGGAAATATCATGTATAATGCCTCACTCAGTTTCTTACATAAATATGAAATGGGAACGCTCAAATTGGTCGGCAATAAAGTTTCAACATAGGCTCGCTTATCGTCTAGTTCATACTCTAAAACAATCAAAAATCGTGAAGTGCAAATCAAGAGGACTTCTAGGGTTGCAATAAAGGTAGTTTGCAAAAGGGAAAGACCAAAATGAAGATAAAGCGGCTCAAATAAACAGTCAAATTCTCGAGCATATAAACTACTCGAATGCTCCACCACCTATCCCAAAATCAACATGAAACCAATCATTCCCATCAAAACTCCATGCAACACTCATACACGCTCAAGATGAAATGCAAATTAAGTACTCGACTGTCTTTCTTTTCTTTTTTTTTTGTAGAGTAACTTTTTTCCGAACAACAACGAATCGAAAGGACAACAGTCCATAGGTTTAAACATTGGAGGTCTTCCAAGTGTCCTACAGTAGTTTCCCAATGCTCATAACCCATCAACGTGAATCGACTAGTAAGAGGAACAGAATCCATTCGAATCGCCTTGTGAGCTCTCATTTTTTTTTTTTTTTTTTTGTTCTTTTTTTTTTCAAGCACTCAAAATGCAAACAAGTTCTATACCTCATCAACACATATCAAAAGCTCCGTCATCATATCAAGTACACTGTCAAATCTCAAATAATTCAATCGAATCGGTTGACAAGAAATACGGTTCAAGGCTCAACGGGCTACTAGTGAAAATATAAGTTCATGGGTCAATGAAAAGGGCTAAAACGAGCTATGTGAAAGAAATGCCTCAATCATTTTCACAAACCACAACTTCAATCGATTATTTCAAAACAGACTCAAGCAAGTTCTGATCAACAAAATTCCGACCATATCTCACAGAAACAGAATAAGGCTCAATCCTCACAAGGCAAATAATATCCAATCAAAACGACCAATCAAGTTCATCAAAATATGCCATCATGATCAACATCACATCTCCTCAACTTCATCAACAAATATCAACAAAACTTAAAATTCACCAATATCCATACTCACAAGACACACAAAGAAAACTAAAACTAGATTGATTCACCACATAAGCATGCCAAATCTAAGTAAACTCCCCCACACTTAAAATGAGGCAATGTCCTCATTGCTTCAACACAAAACAGGAAGTCAAATAAAGGACCTAGAACTTTCACATAATGAACCAAACTCAGCAACTACGACAACAACACAAGACTCAAAAGCAAAGATAGAGGAAAGAACAACTCAAAAAAGATAAAAAGAAAAGGAAAAAAGGGTGTGCAAACCGAAGATGCCCCGAGGAGAATAAGCATCCACATACGAGCTACTCGCCCACGCACCGCTCTGGACCTCGATGTTCGTCCTGCTCAAGCTCGCAAACTTGTACCTGCCAAGAAAAACACAGAAACTCCAAACTCCCATTATTAAAAGATGAAATAAAAAGCAAAAAGAAAATAACTAAGAAAGCAGTAAATCACTTGGGTTGCCTCCCAAGAAGCGCTTGTTTAACGTCATTAGCTTGACGAAACCTGTAAGGAACTCAGCCAGGGTCCAAGAAGAAGTGGCGATCGTGCCACGCCTTCGTATTTTCCA